TGTGTGTGTGTGTGTGTGTGTGTGTTGATGCCGACTCACTGCCGCCCTCCGAGCTCTCAGGATGTGTTTCCTCTCTCCAACAGTCCGACTATCCTTACACTGAGAACGTTCCCAGCATTAAAATCCCCATGGACATGATGGAGCAGGAGCCGTTCTTAGGTGATAAGGCCTCTGACAGTGAGTAGAGCTGGAGGAGAAGCTCCTCTTCCTCCTCTTCGTCCTGCTCTTCGTCCTCGTCCGGACTCACTGAGGAGTCCTCTCCGTTGCATGTTCTTCTCTCTGCTCCGCTTTAACTGCACGTTTTCCTTCTTTTTTCATTTTCCAGAACTTCCACAACATGTTAACATTTGTTTCCTCTTTTCTTTGCTTCATGTTCTTTTAACCAATCAATGTTTTCTCCTCAGTGAACTTTCCTGTTTTGGTTGTTTGGTATAAAACAGCATGTCGCTCTGACGATTCGCTCACTTACATCTAATCTCTTCCATTTGATTTACTTTCTGCTGTGTCTCTATTTGCTTCGTCTCTATCTTCTGTACTCCTGGTGCTCACAGAGTAAAATCTAACGCTACAATATCAACTCATGAAAAAGCTTCATGGATATCTTGAATATGTCTGAACAGTTTTCATTTAGACGCTGATCCTTTTGAATCTATAGAGTAAATTACTTATTTACTTATTACACTACTTATGATGCTTCTGACAAACGTCTCAGTTAAAATGTTCAAATGTTCTTTTTGTTAAGAAGCTTTTTTAATTTCCCACCTTTGACCAACTACTGAAGATATAAAAAACTAAAACTCAGCTGTTGTCAGACGTGTTGTGAAGCAGCAGATCGTCAGACTCTGTTTCACCCTGAGATATTTGGATTCTTCCAGACTGACAGGAAAAACTCCTGAGATGTCTCCACTGTGAACGTCTCCAGATGTTTGCAGCAGCTCATTCTACCACCGGTTCCTCCTCCGCTGGTGAAATCAGCTGCAGAGTCGAACGGAACTGACGTCTAATGTCTTTTGTTCCTTCTTCCTCAGGAGAGAAGTCTCCATCATTCCTTGAACGCCACACATCGTGCTGAGCAGCTTCGCTATTACCAGGCCAACTGCCTGTCCAGGTGAGACAGAGTGTGTGTGTGTGTGTGTGTGTGTGTGTGTGTGTGTGTGTGTGAGGCGGAGAGCCACAAATAAAACTGCCGCTGATTTCATTTTACATTTATTGATGATCGAGGCATCAAAGGTTGCGAAAAGGTCACGAGTGGAGCTAACGGGCTGAACTTTAAAGGTCACAGAGGCTAATCAGCTTAACGCCCGTTTACTTTAGTGGCGTGCAGAGTGTTTTTTTTTATTTCAGCTCAGACGTCTCCTCCCTGAAGTTCAGAGCAGAACAACTATAGTTTAACTTGATCAATGACACAGTTCTGAATCTGGGGCAGTGGACGTTTATAATCTCATTTTATTTTACAGTATTTGATTTGTATGTATATATATATATATGTGTATATATATATGTGTGTGCAGATATTCTTTAAACAAATAAAATACAGTCAACTCAGGGCCAAAGATTCTATTTGCCTCAAACTTCAGATACAAAAGCTTGTTGACTGGATCTATTTTAAATTTCCGTCTTTACCAGTTAATCCCAACATCTTAAACTCATCTTCCAACACTGAAGATTTCAGCTCGATTTATTTATTTATTTATTTATAAAGCAGAAATATGTTGCGGGGTAGAGACGCTCTGTGACGTCAGTGCTGTATGTTGCGTGATGAACGCACCCTGCGCTCCGCTCAAATGAGCTTTAGAGGAAACAATCAGTCTCTCTCACGATGACCAGCATCCGGGGGTCGTATCCGCGGGGGTCACGTTTGGCCCCCGTGTCGTCCCATCTGCTCCACCATTGTCGTCGAAAGAGGATTAGCGTTTCTGACAATGTGCGAAAAGCAGCTGTGATCACAGGACATCTGTGATGTCAACAAACAACTTACAAGATTTTCTATTTCTTTCCTTCTTGTTTTTTTTTTTTTTAAGACCGGCCATCAGCCGCGCACAGCGGCGGCCGAGCGCTCACACAACTCACTGAGTGTCGACACACACTTGTGTCTTTTCTCTCCTAAGGTCTGACTGAGCTTAATATTCGTCCTTCTGCAGAAATCAGATACGAGCCGTCGTCCGAATTTTGTCCACGTGTCCGTCACAGTCTGTGGCACTGGAGTCCACCCCCCCCCCCCCTTAAAAAATCTAATCCTGTCCCACTAAGACTGAAGCCAAATTGCTTTCAACTCAAATAACCTCAGGAACCATCAAACCGTGACGACCGATCGTTTTCCTGCAAACAACCTGAACTGAACACAGAGCTTCAGTAAATAACGGAGCCCGTTTCACTTCCTCTCGATTTCTTCAGCTCTGGATCAGTTGTCGCCCAGAGATGAACGGAGGTCAAAGGTCACAGTGACCTCATATGAATACATCAGAGGAGCACTGAAGCTGTTTCCGGTTTAATCAAGATCAGTGAATTATTCTCAGTGTTTAAAACAAATCATTCAGGTTATCAGACCGACTCCTTTCCCCTTTTCTACTCCTCCGGATTAAACACGCGTCAGGTTTTATTCTGGTTCTGTGACGATCCGTCCAGTTTATCTACGACAGATTAAATCTAATTGTTGGTTTGATTCTCACATGTTTAATATTGTGTTTTTATCCGACCTTCAGTTTCCTAGCACTCACACGGACTGGCTGTATGTACTTTGAACAGAGTAGTATTACTCCTGTCCTCCCTGTGTTTGTGTTTCAGCCCTGAGATGACTCCTCTGAAGTCTGTGCCTCAGATTAGAATCGAAATGGACCCAGACGATGATAATTCTTTCTACTGGAGGAGCAGAGGATCTGAAACGTCTCTGTAGAGACCGAACCACTCAACCAGCGCCGGAGCACAACTCTGTCTCTAACCGACTCTTTCTTTCTCACTCACACGCTCCTCCTCCATCATTTCACCGAACAGGAAACAGATGCAGTAGAATAAGATTTCTCTCTCCTCGCAGCTTCACATTCTGATGAATCTAACTCTTCACTTCTCTTCTATGCAATTCCCTCACGTACCGCTGATCGACGCTGCAGCTCTGAACTCGCATGGAGCGCCCCCCCCCCTGCTCTTTTTATATATAAGTATACATAAATATCATCGTCTGAATTTTTATATTCATTGAATTACTCTTAATAACATTTTCCTGTAGCAGGAAAATTATGTTTTTATAGCTCTACCTCTTGTTTTAGATTCAGTGCTTCTGATGAACCGAGATCAACCTGTTGATTCTTGATGCAGCGCGGAGGTTTGGACATTTTCCCAGATTTGAGATGATCGGAGAGACTCTCCGTTTCACAGCTTGTGAAGGAAACGTGTGCAAATAGAAACTTTAAGTCGATTAACGGTGAATTAACAGTGCGTATGTGTACGCGCAGATGAAGGATATTTTTATCATCACTTTTTGATGCAGTTTCGATCGCTTTACTTTCTCTAATTTTCTTTTCTTTCACGTGTTCTCTTCAAAGCTTTTGTTACTCGTTTAAATTAAATCGAACTTGGATCTGTTTTTTAATGATTGTGTTGCGTGTGTGTGTCGGTAACCTTTTCTAATGTCGTTCCATTGTTTTTCTTTTGCTGGTAGAAAGCAGTTCAGCTAATCGTCCGGTTTTCCTCGGCCAAACTTAAACTCTGACTAGGTGCATATCATGTACTTGCTTGTGCTTTACCTAAGTGGCTTATACGAGATTGATCCAGACTGGAAGTGACGTGGCGATGATTTGATAAAAGAAGGGACTCACGTCGACGTAAGCTCCGTGTGGCGGAGCGGTTTTTTTCTTTTCGTCTCAGCTGCTGTTGGAAATATCTGATGTGAAAATGGAAAAACTTGCTTCTCCTTGTTTTATATATTTAAAATGGACAAATTTGAATTTTATGGCGTCTGTCTTTACAACACACCTACAGGCCCGTACGCACATTGAGGGGGCGTTGGCTCCAGATGTTTGCGGTGCAGGAGACACAGTTTTGATTTTATCTTGAAGCAGATCGTCGGTGTGTGTGTGTGTCGGCCGAAATAACAATATGAACTTTATCTGAGGTTATTTAGTGCAGGTGCCTCTGTTTGTTTGTCCACTAGAGGGCACTGATGGCTCATTTTTAAACTGTAAATTTCAGCCGCAGCTAAAACGAGACTTAATCAGTCTTTACTTTGAATTAAGTTTCTTAGTCCTGAATTTAATTCTTTAGATTTAAACTTTGATGAGATTAATATAAATCCAGAAAACGTATAAGTGATTTATCTGTAACTTGGATTCAGGTCTCGGTCACGAGTCCTGATCCAGTTCAGAGTAAATAAACCTGTGTCTGTGTGATTTCAACTGGGGTTTTAGGGAAAACTGGGGATGAATACTACACTACCCACAATCCTCAGGTGTAATGGTGACGGCTGTGATTGGTGGAGCTTCCTGTTACCACAAGGATGTTGAGCACAACCGCCAAAATCACGTTGGGTCCGATTGGATCGTCCAGCGTGACATTACGTTTACCACAGAGGCAAAGAGGAAGGAGGTCACAATGGTTCATGGGATGTGTAGTTCCTTCACTCTGAATTATTACAGTCTTGTACTTTTGCCTTTTTTTCCGTCGCCCAACATTAATTTTGCTCTGAGTCAGAAGCTGCAGGACAAAACGTCCACCACCACAGAAGATATACGATTTAAAGTGAAGGAGCCTCCTCTTCCTCTGTGAATCCTGTGTGAGCGTCAGACGAGAATCAAAAACCTGTTCATCGTGTTAATCTTAGAGAATGGATTACTGACACTTCTTGTTTTTCTGGATTAGTGTTTGCGACACTTAGAGCAGGTGAAATGGTTTATTTTAGAATTTATATTTTTCAAATGAAATGTATATTGAAAATAAACAGAAATGAACAGACAGTGATGGTTTTGCTGCTGCTTTTCTGTCTCTGAGAACATTTCAATGCATCTGACTCCACAAACACTTTATAACAAGAATCAGATCCGAAACGTGACGTCTCGTATTTAACATCCATCATTTCCAAAATATTGAAGCGTCACAAGTTTATTATAAATACTTATTATAAAACTTGTCTCTAACACATATTGAAGAAACAAATACGTCATGGTATTTGTTCTTGTATCACCTGACGACATTCTGTACATAAATATTATTATTTGTATATTATATAAAATTATATATATTATAGTATATTATATTGATATATATTATATGTATATATATTATAGTATATTGATATATATTATATGTATATATATTATATTCGACCACTATATCAACAGACTGCCCTCATCATAGAGTTTTTGATTCAGTACCACCCTCTAGTGTTGGACCAGCAACATTACACCTGACAGAGGAGAACCTTGGTTACCTCTGTAACTGTGGAGCCTCAATTTAAGAAGAACTTCAGTTTTTAGTTTTTACTTTCAAATGTAATCAAACAAATTCATTTAAAAATGAGCTGGAAAATACAGAAGCTGCATCATGAAGCTAACGTTCCTCTAATCTTTGTGTTTATCCTGTGAATAATTCAGAATGAACTCTTTTTCACAACAATATATACATTATATTATATTATATATATATATATATATATAGTGTGGATATTGTATATATGTGTATATTTCGTGTTCACCACGTTGCTGCTGACAGAATCCCACAGTGACAGTCACACAACAACAAGGTTGTGTTGTTGCTGCGAGGCTGCTGTTCGGGGCTGTTCCTGCTCTGAATGGTGAATGCTGTTTATTAAGATCCACAAAATGGACAAAGACGTGTCAACAACACAGCAGCAGCAATAAAAAAAACAAAAAACCTTGAGCACAAAATCTGATAAAAGGAGAAAGTAAAGAAATGAACACAGACACATTCGTTCTCTGAAAGTTTCTCCAGCACGAATCAAACCGAGGAAACTCACTCGGCTTTCAGGACGTTCTGCTCAAACTAAACTAGAAAAGTTTCGGGTGAGAGAGTGTCTCATGATTTTCACTTCCTGTCCTGTCTGGTTTTCATCTATTTGTCTCTTTAATCAATTGTTACGAGAAAAGTTTATATGTATTAAAATGTTTGATAAACTATAATTACAGGTCTGTGGTGTCTCCATCAGCCAGTGCAGTTTCACTCTATATATTTATATTTGATCTCTGATCGATGTGAACGTAACGTCAAACGCATTCATTGGTTTTTGGTGCATTCAAGTTTGAGCCTCCTGTTGAACCACTGGTCAGGAGAAATGTTACAGAAGAAACTAGTCGAATATTAACTGGATTCTGTTTTCGACCAATAAAATGATTGTAATTCGTCAAAAAAATGTGGAATATTTGAAACCTTCCTACAAACATTCTGTGAATCTTTTCTGATGGAAAAAAAAACTAAATCTTTCATTTCTTCACAGGCAGAAAAGATCTTCACAAGCTGAATGTGAAATATTTAACTGTCTGGCTAAAGTTTTGAGGAATTTTAAGGTTGAGCTCACTCAGAGTTTAAAGCTGCAGCAAGACCCGAAAACAGTCTCCTGAAATTCATTCAAGCCGCAAACTACACAAACGCATCAGTTCCCTAAACACACCAGAGTTTTTTACTGAATTATTTTCTGGGAACTGTGAAAATGTCAAAAATAAGAATACGCCCTCACGTGTGAAGGAAAGTGATTTGAATTAAACCCTGCGGTTCTACGACTCCACCGACCACGACCGCTTCTGTCCCATGTGTCTCTGACCTTCGACCTTTTGACGACTGGAATATAATCAGTTCGTCTGTGAGTCTAAGTGAGAACTGATCGATGCGTTATGTTCAGGAGGTCGCGTGAGTCCACTGGGAGCTTTGACCACAACACTTTAATCAGATCATCCGTTCATCCAGCTGAACGTTTGCATTAGAATTGAGATATCGTGTTCACGAGGGAAAGTTAGACAGACAACCTGAGAACGAGACGCCTCTGACCACTGGGTGTCGCCAGAATGGAGATAAATATATA